TAATTTGCTGCAGTAGCCAATCTTTTTTTTCAGTGTACTTAAGTGTCAGTGTGTCAATTTTTAGATTTATGCTTATTTAATAATTGCGAATAGAATATCGTAAAAACAAATCGCATAGATTTAAAAATTAATAATCTCGTACAGTTGAATTTCATTTTTATGATATTAAAGGACAAAGTCAGTCTCAATTGAGTTCTGCGCACATCGTCGAATTGAAATATCATCACACGACGGAGCGTACATGTGACATGAGACAATAATTTGCTGTAAAGTGAGCTGGATTTTAATGTCCGGGAGATACTATCCAAGATGGAAAACATAAAAGCGCATTAAGCACGAATGAAGACCCCCGAATCTAGACGAGCTTGTAAAAACTGGGACATCAGAATAGATACTGGGGAGGTATCAAGCTCTCACGAAAGAGTGGCGCACCTGCTGACACGTATGATTTACCGGCGAAAATGTCTGCATGCGTGCACTCCACTGTGGTGCACAAAAAAGAGCAACCAACAATCGTTAAGGTATTATTTTTAGAGATTCCTGCGCGCGCTCTGCACCGAATGCATCGCGTACATGCCCCTCTTTATTACGGTTACGATAAATTTCGCGCGTAATCGGATGAGCAAGTTATTAAACGTGCTGATAAATTGCTTGCAGACTACGCTCGTGACATAAATATTTTGCTGACTGTGCGATTAATATTGAACGAAATGTCCGATATCGCTACTATGTGCATATGGAGGCTGCTTTAATAGGCTCTCTGGATCTTCGTAAATCATTGTGATCGATAATGTGATTGATCGTTATTTGGTACTCAATTGCAAGGCGTTATGCGATATTGGAATATTCGTTATTGTAGAGTTTATCATGGATTATGATGTAGCACGCTATATGAATTATATGTTCAAGCTATCTTTTAAACACATTCATTAAATTGTAAAGTTGACAAATAAATGAATTTCACACATAAATTGCAAAATATTTGGATTAATTTTATAAGCATTAAGAATTAAATAGCATTTATTTGTATCTCAAACTTTAGAAAATTTAAATATTATATATCCGACCAATTTTTTCGCACATAATGTAATATATAACGGATAGAGATACAAATTTTTTAGATATAGTTCTTCTTTATTAAAAATAAAAATTTGTATAAATACTTATATTATAAAAATACATTAGGTATATGTTTAAGCAAAGAGCGCGCCATATGGCTCATTAATTATCTCAGGCTTTATATCGCTTTGTTTAATCTGGAAAGATAGGCGTTTTTTCAACATTTCTGTGTAAGATTTGAAAGTAAAAACGCATGGAACACGTTTTCTATCTCAACAAATCGCTTCTGGGAAAGCTAAGTGTCGTTACGGAAATAGCTGGCGTACCAACAGGATCTGGAATAGCACTTCATTCATGTGCTCGTGTATCTTTATTTAGCTTCTAAAATAAATAGGAAATCTTGGATTCACTAAGCCACCTCTCTCTTCTCTAAGGAATGTAAGAAATTATTTTTTGTGAAAGACGTTTCGTCGAGATAATTAAATTTCAAAGATTTTTTATATATTGCTAAAATGAATCTTAATACACGATATTATTAATAAAACAAATAAAAAATTTTAAATTATAAGAATTATTACATTAACAACAATTTAAATATACTATAATATCAATACAAATGTAAATGTTATATACATTATGTATATGATGTATATATACATATATATATTAAAATTATATAATTTAATTACAATTTTATTATAAATACAAATATATATACAATATATAAATATATGCACTACCGCCTTAAAAGTTTTAGCACACTCTCCGTTTGTGGAAATATCGTAATATAAAAAATAAAATATGAATACGGTTTTTGCATGTATTATGTTTCTTAACTTATTATTATTTTTTTCACCAAAACAAAAAATAATTTATTTTTTTTATTACTTCTTAAAGCTTAATCTCCTTGAGCTTTAATAACGAAATTCTTGGCATTTTGTCGATAATTTTTTTAAATGTCTTAATTAAGACTTGTGTTTAATCTGATGTTTAATTTCTGCGAAAATATTGTTTACATACTATTTTTTCTAATTGTTAGTCGTCAAATGTTTATCAGTGTCTAGCGCAAAATTTAAAATTGATATTTTTTAAAACTATAAACATATCTAACCCATATATTTGTCGCGTCTATTTGAGAAATTTACTTATAATTTTTATTTATATAATTGTTTTTTGGCAATTTGCGACCTTGTTGAATACTTTCGTGACCGAACATAAGAGAATACATTATATCATATTTCCGTATTTTATATATGAAAAATGGAACTGTTAGAATAAATATAAGGCGTACTTTTAGATAAGGAAACTTTTGATTGGCAATATATAATAGTAAAATATAGTTTAATGTACATTTTCAACAATTCAGTATTATGCACATACATATTTAATAAAGATATTGTTAACTGTAATTTACTTTATTTCTAACAGTGACGTATAATTATTTCCGTGTTCTTGGATGTATATGTCGTGCTCTTCTCTGAATAATATTCCGCGGCAAAGGCAAGCACATTAAACGTGCTTTCTCTCGTAACAGATAACCGTCCACTGCCTGGGAGACGAAGCGACGTTACGGAGATGGTTGGTCTACGATCCCCGTCAGAGGGTACAGGGCTGGAGGTTTGCCTCTTACATGCTGCTGCACTCGAACGCACTTCATCTCGCACTCAACGTGGTCATTCAGCTGGTCCTGGCTACCCCACTCGAGGTGAGCCAATCAAGTAAATTGCGGAGACATTGCTCAGTTGGCGCGTCGAGATACGGTGTTTAAGGGAACGAGCCCCTCCTTCGACAAAAGGATCCTCTTTATGATTACTCCAGATAACAATCCTATATGGTCGAATTAAAATCCTCTTCGTCACGCAATGTGTCTACAGAATATTTAGAGAAAGCATGATGCAGAATAGAGAGAGAGAGAGAGAAAGAAAGAAAGAAAGAAAGAAAGAGACATCGTTCTTTAAGAAATAAAATTTTTTGAAAAATTAATAAAAAAATAAAATAAGGAATATATTTAGGAGTCAGATTATTGCACATTTGCACACAATTGAATATGTGAAATCAACTTTATATTATTCACATCCTTCCGTTGATAATGACTTCAAAGTAAGTCGACACGCGTACGGCTCTCAATCTCTATATTTTTTGCTTGCGAACGATATACATTAAATTTGCACTATCGCGTTAATTTCCAATATTCCTTATTTTATACATTTTCTTATTATTCTTGAATACTGGGAGTTCTTACTCTGTTTATACATTTTTTAAAAGATATTGTATGAGAAATCAATTTGTAACAACGTTAATTATTTTTTATTTTTTTTCACAATATATCGTATACCATATATGGTAATAGATTGCTGCGCCTAAATAAAATTATCAAATAGGATCTCTTTATTCTAGTGTTAGGATTTCCATTTATTATCCGATATAACAAGTTTTATTTATGAGGAACAGATTACAAAGATCGTAATTCTGCACGTACGGAATTGCAGATGGAAACGAAGGAAACTTGTAATTGCAGGTGGAGCAAGGACGAATAGGAGTGGCGACTATCTATCTGGGCGGCGGAGTCTGCGGTGCTCTAGGAGCGTCGCTTCTGCAACCAAGTCTTTATCTGGTTGGCGCTTCGGCAGGTGTTTATGCGCTACTCACTAGTCATCTTGCTCATCTCTACCTGGTAAGCAAGAGAAAAAGAGTTTCTCAATTTCTAAGAAACGGAGTTTACAGGGCGTAAACTGATCCCTCAATCGATCTCTCGCTCCTTGAAAGTCCACGTAATGTTGCATGTCGCAGTATTGAAAAGGAGCAAAGGAAAAAAAGAATTACTATAAAAAATGCTGTACTAAAATGTGTTGTCGAGTCGCGCTGAAATGTTTCCGTTCAAAATACTCTTACGAAAGAATCTTATTTAGTGAGTAACGAACTTTTTTTATGGGAAGTGCCAATAATAAAAAATCCTCGAGAAACAAATACAGATTTATTTATCATATTATCTTTGTATGATCGAATCCATATATTTTTTAAAAATCATGTTAACTTCTTGAAAGCAATATTAGGTCTATTAGCTCAATTTTGTACAGTGAAAAAATTTCTGGTTGAAAATTGACGAATCAGAATTTTCTGATAAATTTATTAAAATTCTAATTAAGATAACAGAAAGAATTCTGATTGATACAATATTTCTGGTAAAATCTACTAGAATTCTCATTTTTACCAGAATAATTATATCAATCAGAATTCTGACTATCTCAATTAGAATTCTAGTAGATTTAACCAGAAAATTCTGATTCGTCCATTTTCCACCAGAATTACTATTTAATCCAACCAGACCATTTTTCTCAGTGTATTAATTCAATAAACTTCGGAAATAATGTTAAATTCACAAATTACGCTCTAAAAAATATAGATGTGAACGTAATACCATGCGGTGTTTATATAATTCTCATGTTTATATAAACACCAGCATGATATGGATTTAACACCAGAGGTTTTAAATCAACACCAACGCAGTGAGAATTATATAAATTTCGCATGATGTTAAATCCACACATATTTTTTAAAGTGTAGATTGTTATGTGATTTAACATGTAATTGAGTCTTATTTTTATTTGTATCTTGATTCTTCATGGAGGAAAAAAGGATTGCGTAGCATATCCGTGCACCGTTTTGTTTCTCGTTCGTTGCAGTGTCACGGCGAGCTACGCTACGCCGGCTGGCGTCTCGGGGCCGTGTTGCTGCTGGCTGGTGCGGACGTCGCGTCGCTGCCCATTCCGGCGTTGCTTGGATGCGGTCGGGTCGGTTGGGCGGCGCACGTCGCGGGCGCGCTAGCGGGTCCGCTTCTGGGTCTGGCCGTGTTCCCAAACCAGAGCAAGAAAGATGCCCGGGGCCGTAGATTCGTGCGATACGTGCGGCTGCTGTCGGCCGTGAGCGTGATGCTGCTGATCGTTGGCGCCATCCTCGGCAACGTCTACTTGATCGCCCTGCCACAGCTCAGGAAGCCGTCCTGACAGAGGATCGAGATGCTCGTCAAGCTCTGCAGACGGTCCTTCCTGATCGTGAAGATCCGGGAGGCCGCCGAGAGCGTGTTCGAGTAGGCCCATGCAATCTCGCGGGATCCGTGCAATCGATCGCGTAACTGCCAATGGACTTTCCCACTTCTCATTCCTCAGATCTCACGTGAAACTTGTGCAATCCAATCTCATCATCTATTAGACAAAAAGTATTGCACCAAAATCACGATATGCGATCGTGACTTTAGGCAATTTGTGCGAAAATTTTCACATCTAACTCCAGATGAAGATCATGTGATCGGTACACTGAGCCATTTGTGAAGGAACTTAGGCGAGCTTTACGCTCAGTGAATTAGTAAAGAAGAAACGCCAAAGATCGATGGCTAATCGAACTTGGTATTTGCTGCCATTAGAATCTCTAGGATCTTGAGGATTCATTGCGGAGTATGCAATAGAATCTTAGAAGAAAGGTGATTCTTCGTCTAATACTTTGATAAATTTGATATTACGAACATTGGTGAATCGTCACGACTTTTTCTATGGACAGGTAAGACGTTTAAAACTGCCGACCACAACCCTGCCAGTAAGAGAGGGTTGTAAATGTAACATTTAATAACGCGATTCTCAATGATTTCTCGTTATATCAATCTCGGTATATGAGCGAACAAGATAAATTATGAAAGTGTGAAATGTGTGTATAATAAAAATGAGAAAAATTTCTCCTATAACAATGTATGAGGCTGACACGAATATACATTGACAGTGCATGTAAGTCTGTCCAGCAATGGCAAACGATTGATATTGTAGATTGTGAAAAGTAATTTATTTAAATAAACACAGGAGGCTATTGTTATGATTCGCGTGGTAAAAACCGCGATTTCGAGTTAAAGCTAGTATGTCACAACGTTGAAGACAATGGGATACCTTCATTCTTTCTATTATTCATATTTAGCGTGTACGAGATGTGTAAGAAGATGTATAAAATAAAGCGATCATATTACTAACATAAACGTGTTATGATATAACGAAAATTTTATTAATGGCAAGATAAATGTATTGATCGTTAATAAAACAAAGTTTAACAACGTGCGACTGATCTTGAGCTGCGAAACTGTAAACTCTCCGTACAAACTAATTCGCTGTTGTAGAAGTAACATCGTAATCCCAAATCATCTTTTGACGTTATCAATTAATTGTAGAACAAGAAGGTAACGGAATTAGGAGTCTAAATTGAATTCCTTCGCGTTAAGCCAGAGTCCTGCCATGTTTTCCGATAAGTGTGCAAAAGAAGAGATCTTTTATAGCGTAATCATAACGCAAAGATAATCGCGTTTCTATTTACGAAGCTGTAAAACTTGCGAAATATTTATAGCGTAGCGTAGCGTCTTTAATCACGATGTGCGGTGTTTGTTAAGAGAGCTCATATGCATACAGATTTGGAGGCGTTCATCAATTTTCGACCGTGTTGTTTCTCTCCGCTTCAATTTATCATAGCCAACAATCGACGCTACCCATCGAACGGTAACATAAATTATCGTTATTACAGCTTGAATTAACAGCTCGGTTAAACTTATGCTCGTCAGAATTTTCTGATTAATAATTCTGATAAACAATTAGACGGAGACAAGGCGCTTCGGATAACGATCGTGACTCGCTTTATGAAATTGGTATCTAACACGGAAAAAACGATTACGGCGCGGTTGCCACGATCAAAGGTCGCCCATCAATACATTTGTTGGTTGTAAGAACTATAACATGAGTGTGATAACCGTAAGTTTGGCATATCTTAACGGTTTGGCATATCTATGGCTATTAAAATATGTCCTTAGGGTTATCACAACCAAATATATTGATGAACGAAAATTATCATTGTTTCCGGTTGTAACGTTTTCTCCGTGAAATAATTTAATCTAACTGATGGCTTCTACCTAATTTGGATATATATCTTTCTCTCTAATCGCTTTTAAAGTTTGTTAATATTCTGAGAAGCCATTAACCCTTTGTGGACGGGTGATCTATATTTGGGATCATCTCCTTTTATTTTATAAATTGTTCGTTTGATTTTTAAGAAATTTGGTCTATGGAGTCATTTTTTTATTGATACTTTATTCAAATCTGAGGTCAAAAATAAAAAATTCAATAATCTAATTATTATAAAAATCAATTTTAAATAATTTTTAATTGCGAAGTAACATCAAGTTTCCAGTTTTGCTTTATTTGAAATTCATCGATATTGCGTAAATAATTGTACTGATTTCCAAACTGACTTCTAAACTTTGATTATCAAGCCCTGTGACATTAGGTCTTCATTAAAGATTACTACCCTTTTAAAATTCGATATTTTCGGGCTGTATTTAAATTCAGCAATATTAAAATATTTAAATTTAGAATATTAGGACATCCAAATTCAGGAACCTCCTAAAACCGAATTTCATGATAATCAAATTATTTCTTGAAATTTGAATTTTAGGATCCTGAAGTTAGAATTGACACAATCTCAAAAACAATCCCTTTAAAATAACAAAATCTTCTTTTTTAAGTTTCTTTTCTAAAAAGCTCCCATCCTTAAGAGATCTTCAAAGGGTTAAGAAAATTGCAGTGGTGTGCGGTCAAAAAATATTAGTGCCGAAATAAATTATAATCGCGCGTAATATGTACACACAAGCATGTAACAATATAGAGCGTAATGTCATATGCGAGAAAAGTAATGTGTTCTCCCGGACAATTAATCGTATACTCGTATATCTACTTGTTTATCAATGTTACATGAGACGAACTGGCTGTGATTATGTTAGTGTTATCGTCGACATGATTACACATTACTATCTTGTAAATAATAAATTATTATCTAAATATAAATATATGATTACACACACATACACACGTACTGTGATTTCATCGCGAATATATAACGAGACCCCGTTATCTTCATTATACATATATCGAAACAATCGATTGCCTGCAATAAAATTCGAGCGAGTCTCTCGTATGACGTTTTACAAACTGTTGCAACCCGCTATCTCGAATTCCCTATCGAACTATCCTTCTCTCTGTATTCGCATTTATTAACTGTTCCCATTCAATATCTGTCATTATTATTCCGTAGAATATCGAGGATATGATATTTTGAAGATTAGAGTTAATTAGGTTTGCAATTAACTCTTCCCATTAATTTCGATTGAATGAGCCACCTCTTTTATCGGATTTCATTTTCCCAAACAATTTCCGCGATGTGTACTGATTAAATTATTTTAATAACATGATCATTGCTTAAATTTTGTATTTTACGTATTAAAATAATTTCCATGAAATTTTTTTCAATATTAATATAAATAATGTTTTTATAAAAAAAACTAGAAAAAGTTATATTTTATTGGATAGAGAGATATGATTAAAACCGCGATGTAATTAAGCAGCTTTGTAAAAATTAATTTTATTGGAAATATATAAGCGTATTACATTTCGATATTTTCTGCAAAAGAAAGAGGAATGAGGAAAAGAAAATAAAGCGTAAGAAAGTAAAGGTAAGAAAATGTGGAAGTTTATTTTATAACGAATATATACATATATATCATACATATACATATATATAAATATACATCGTATACGTATGTATACATATATATACATATATATAATATATATGTTCTATGCGCTGCATTTTAAATAAAATCAGTAATTTTTAAGCTAATTTAAGTCAATATATAATTATAATCGTAAATATAACCGTAGTCTTCTTTTTCAAAAAGCAAATTTTTATTTAATAAAAATGAAAGTTTTATTTAATAAGTTTATCTTCTTTTATCATGAAAGTTTTATTTACCGGCTTATATTTACCGGTTTTATAATTCCAATTATACTTCTACCCAATAAATATATGAAAATTAAAGGTGGTAAATGCTTAAAAAATATAACGTATAGAAATGAAAACACTCAGAAGTTTAATAATACAACGTTTTATAAATCACAACAAAGCATTCTTATAACTTTGGATATAGTATATCAGTTATAGCAAAATTAATATGAATGCAAATACATACTTATATTGTAATGTATACTTATTATATTTACCCTTATGTAATAACGGCGCTAATTCAACAAGTAATGCTGAAAAATAATGAATAATAATAATTGAATTGACGCGTCATAATCGGTAAAATTATTTCAGCATCATTGATAACAACATTCGTTGCTGACTGATCTTGGATCCCGTCTGATTCATTAGATGCCAATTTCAATCAATGATACTATTGAGATCGTTATTATAACTTAAAAGTTAACATAAAATATACCTACTGTAATTCATATTATGATATAACATTTATAAAAGATAGGCAAAATTGTGAAAAAAATCTCTGTAAATCAGTTCTTCTAATGTTAAATAATTTTTTCAATCAGAATTCAATATTTGATTTGTGCCAGAAAAATATGAAATATTATTCAACATTTGAAGAGGTTCGACTTATGTAGATTATTTCTCTTTCAACATTTTAATTTTTTATAAATGTTCACAAATCATACATAATGGCTGGCTATTATATACGCCACAAATCTAATTCATTTGCAAAGGATGTGTAATTTAGTAGGATAATTTAAATTTTGTAAGAACGTCTTTGCCGAATGATTATTTTCCTTCTTTTTTTCCCCTCCTTTCTTTACCGTCGTATTCCACCTTGATATCTTTTGCATTCGGAGAGATAAATTACGAAGATAAATCAAAATGGCACCCTCGTCTCTCTACCCCCGCCGGTATATAGATGGATAATTCCCATTAAAGAAGAAAAGCGGTCGTGGTGAGCGAATACCACGCTAACTTCCGCCTTCATCCACTTATCCTTCGAGGCACGGAAGGACTATTCCTCACAATTACATTCTGATCGATCCCGTCGTGGACGTGGATTCTCCTAAGGCCGGCGTTTATGACCACCGCGCGACATCGTGGAAATAATGCTCGACGATACAGAGAGAGAAAACGACAGACATGAAAGAAATTAGAAGGAGAAATCTGGAAATCCCGGGATATAAGACGGGAAACGACAATTG